TGAAAAAGCTTAATTTACCTTTCATGTTTTCAGAGAAAAAAGAAAATACGTGTAAAAAACAAGGCTATGTCTGACGGCGAATCAGACCACAGCAGCAGCCGAGACAGAACCCAGATTGTTTACCATCCTAAGTAAGGTCCCTGAACGCATCAACCTTAAAAGATGTTTAATATGTAAAGTTAAATTTGTGTTTCTACAATATTTCTTCAGAAAAAGAAAAACCATGAGACTCTCCAGAGCTTTGTCTGACCTGGTCAAGTACACTAAATCTGTCCGAGTGCATGAGATAGAAACACAAGGTAAAAATGAAAGAGGCTTTAGCGAAAACCATGACATCTATGTTTAACTTAATGGCGTCGTGGGGCCATTGTACATAGAAAAAAATTAGTACATTTCTCCCAAAAAAACCCAGAAATGTTCTAGAAAAAAAATCTGGGAAATTTCTGAGTTTCAAACTCGAAAATTTCCTAGAAAAAAGAGAATCTGAAATTTTGAGTATAATCTCACAATCTCAGAAATGTCCATGTTGTTTTCCCCCTTGCAGATGTTATTATTTTAAAAGTGTTTTTGGTGCAAACACGCAGGCTGTTGTCTTGGATTTCTGTTTGGCAGGATTTCTGAGCAGCTGGCAGGTGTCATCTCTGAACGAGACCGTAATGAACCAGATTCTACAGATAAAACCCGGCGAGCTGGTGCGCTTCAACCAGCGCCAGCTCATCAGAGTCTACCCGTCCAACTTCAGGGTGGACTCGAGCAACTTTAACCCGCAGCCATATTGGAATACGGGATGCCACATGGGTAATCCAGAGAGACCGCTACGTAGTGAAAACTTATGCAATCAGTCATGACGGAGCCTCAAAATGTCTTTGCTGAACACTTTTGATTCGGTTTCTACTGAACAAGAAACGGCAACGGACATTTCGTATCCTAGCAACAGACAACGACGTAAGATAAAACCGTATCCGGTTAAGCACTCTTCAAAATAAAACACTTATTTTTTCCAAAATAAATCATGAATGGCGCTTTGCTTTTTTATGTTCAATAATTTTAAATTCAGCGAATACAATAACAATAATAAGACATTTAATGATAATTTATAGTTATTAAATTATAAGTTATTATTCATTTATAATTTTATGAATTAAATTTAATAATAATTTAATTTCCCTTTTGAGCTAATAAAGTATGTTTGAATTGAATCAAATAATAATAATGTAGATTATACTTAGCATGTAAACCAAAATGTCCACTTAAATTTGTATTTATATAATATAATTTATATAAATATATCTGATTATGTAATTTTTAAATATTAAATGACTGATAATTTGATCAGTCACTCAGTTCTTAAGTGGCATTTCTACCAAATAGTTTTTTACTTGAGTGGCCACTTTTTACTTTTACGAGAGTAAAAATCTGTTGAATTTGTGCTACTCTAACTTGAATACAGTTTTTGAGTGCTCTACCTTCTCTACTCTGCATATAACTGTAAATAAGCAACATTACATGTCCTTAAAGGTTGTGTGATATTGCCAGAAGGTCTCCATGTTTTTATTTCATTCTAGTTGCAATGAATTACCAAACAGAAGGCAGAATGCTTGAACTGAACCGAGCCAAGTTTTCAAGCAATGGAAACTGTGGATATATTCTGAAGCCTAAGTGCATGTGTAAAGGTATGGATGCAGTGTGTATTAATAGAACTATAAATGTAATTATGCAAAAGAGTGGCTGAATACTTCTGGTTTTTCTCAGCTGCCTTTAACCCGGTGACAGAGGATCCATTGCCAGGACACAGAAAAACTCAGCTGGTGCTAAAGATAATCAGTGGGCAGCAACTTCCCAAACCCAAAGACTCAATGTTTGGAGACAGAGGAGAAGTAAGAGCCAGAACAACCATTCTGAGTTTATTTAAATTATTAACAGAAAATCACCTCTGATTTGATCTTTTTTCAGATAATCGATCCCTTTGTTGAAGTTGAGATCATCGGTCTGCCTGTCGATTGCTCCAAGCAGCAAACCAGAGTGGTTGATGACAACGGTGAGCGCAGAACTTCCCTGTCTAAGTTGCTTCACGTCCATTTTCCACATTTATTTAAAGTTTTTTTGTCGTAGGATTCAATCCGATGTGGGAGGAGACCCTTGTTTTCAGCATCCTGATGCCTCAGATCGCCCTGGTGAGGTTCCAGGTCTGGGATCATGATCCTATTGGACGGGATTTTATTGGCCAGAGGACGGTGGCTTTCACCAGCATGATGCCAGGTAAGCTGCCGGCTCAAATCTCCAGAGTTGGACTGGAGTTTAAATCTGGGGATTAAGATGTGACCTTGAAGGAAGGTCAGGGTCTGACTGGTTGATGTTTAGCATCATAATCCAGCTGAAAAATCCAGTGACAAACCTTTTTCAGTTATTTTTGTATTTATTGCACTTCAAAGATTCCTTTATACCATGCTCTATGACATATTTGTATTAAATTAGCATCATGGCATCATTGGTCCTCTGCTGTAATCTGTGGGCAAAAGGTGCTTTTCCAGGTGTTTATGTTGAAATGTTTAGTTGAAATGTTTGGGTTTGTTTTTGTTTTTGATGAAAGTCTCAGTCTGGAGAAATGCACCAACCTTCAAAAGTAAATAGTAACTTTAAACATCTGTGATAATCTACATCAGTGTGCTGATGATTTGTTACCTAAATATGTGAAAATATTTTCACAATCAGACTTGGACTGTAAAACATTTCTGATAGAAGCTGAAGGACAAAGATCATAACCAGTTTGATTGTGCTTGCAGGTTATCGGCATGTCTACCTGGAGGGAATGGCAGAGTCGTCCATTTTTGTTCACGTTGGCATTAATGACATGATGGGAAAGGTACGCTACTTAAAAGGGAACCTGTTATGTAAAATTCACTTTTTGCACGTTTTTCATTTGGGTATTAATTACTTCTATAAATAGCCCATGTGCCTAAAAAACAACCAGCTGTTTTTGGCAATAAGTTCATGTTTTTTGATGTCTGGAAAATGAGCCATTTCAAAATTACCCAATTGTTGTGCCATTACCTAGCAACCCCAGCCTAGCCCAGCCTGTCACCTAGCATCCCAAGTGAATCTCCAGCACATTTGATCATTTTCCACTTTCAATGGCAGCTGGATGTTGTTGACTCACCACCCAGAAATCACTTGCTGCATTTATGTTGACTGTGCAGAAGGCTCTACTTCTGCTTTTCAAAGATCTATGGTTGCATAGTTGTGCATCTGTTTGCATCGATTTTCACCTGTGAGTGCAAGCATTGAGTTGGGGAATTTATTTGGATTTAATGACAAGAACAACTCATGAAAATAGTTAGAAATTATCAGACAAAAATCTCATAATCTGTGAATAATCTTGTGCATAAAATGTTTTGAGTAGGCCATGGATTAATCCTAACCTGTTCAAGAAAGCACAATAGGTCACCTTTAAAATAAACCTAAATATTATTCACAATCTTTGAGTCCTGAATAAAACTTTTTTTGTGAAACAGATCAAACCTGCTCATGCCATGCATGCAGCTAGAAAACACATCCAAAAAGCAGCTCAGAAGCACATGAGGGGCAATCAAAGACATCCTTCTGTTGACGTCTCCGTTCAGTCCTCTGAAGATGGACGTGTTCTGTTTTCCAACCGGGATCTGGACACCATGTCTCAGGACAGCAGAAATGGAGAAATGTCTCCAGTGGTAAAAGGCTCAGCGGCTAAAGCTGCGTTCCACAGGGGGATGATGAGCGAGCCTGTGAGGCGAGCGCACAGAGTGAAGATCCACGAGCCTCCAGAGACACGGCGAGGCTTCTTCAGCAGGATGTCCTCCACTGACTCTCACAACAGCAGCGGCGCCACTGCTCCCTGTGTGAAGGAGGAAAGCTTCGACCTGGACACTCTGTCGCAGGTTTCTTTGGCGGAGAGTCTCGGTCCTGAAAGCCAACCTCAAGCTGATCGAAGGGACTCTGAGAATGAGTCTGTGCTGCCAAGCTGCGCTGAGCAGTATGCAGTGAGGAGGTTTGAACCGGAGCACCCTGAGCTGCCAGAGGAGCAGGAACCAGAGGAGCACAGTGAGGTTTTCACTGAACCTGAACACCATCCAGAACCTCAGCCTTACTCCGTCCTAGAGTGTCACACTCTGCCACCGCCAGAAGCCTCTAAACTCATCCCTCCATCGTCCCCCGCCAGGGTCAGACGCACCTTAGAGGCGCCGACGTCCAGTCGGCCTTCAACTCTGATACAAACCAAAACCCGCTCACACAGCTGCCCCAGAAAACAGACCTGTTCGCCCCAGACGCCTGCTGTGACCCGGAAGCCCACCTTTCTCTGGCAGCAAGAGCAGAGCCAGGTGAGACGCATTCCCAACGGCCTCTGCCCGTCCGGCAGCTCATCCAGCAACAGCGGGGGCAGCACCGATAGCCTGGAGTTTCTGCCCAGCCGCCCGGTGCCGGCCGGGTCAGAACAGCGAGAGGGAACGCTGCAGAGGGAGATGAAGGCGCTGTTCGACCAGAGGATGAAGGAGATTCGCTGTAAATCACCGCTCTTCTTTGACGGTGAGTCATTCATAAGAAAATAACACTTGAAGCTGCAGAGCAGAAACAACAGCAACGATACACCAGGGTCAAATTTTCATTCCTAATCCTGGCTTTTCACTTTTCCTTTTTCCGATCAGATCACAACTCTGACTGAAGAAACCAAGACATCAAAGACAAGAAAGAACAAATGGAGGAAAGAAGAAAAGCCTCAGCTAAAATACAAACTTTATTTTTCTAGTTTAGCTGGACTGCTTATGGTCCTTAACTTTTTATTGTGAGACATTGTTTGTGAAAAGAAATTGCTGAAATCAAATGATGCTGCTGCCAACTGTACAGAAATGCTTGCAAACTGTTAAATTAGTTGTCATGCTTTATATGTAAGTTGTATTTTCAGATTTTAAATGTTAACTTGGATTAAAAGTTATTTTTTGTAAAAAAAAAAAATATGATTTTTAAAAAAAATTATTCTTATTTATATTTAGAAGCCATTAGTAAAAAGCAATGTGAGTTTTTGGGGTTAAATTACAGCTGGGCGATATGGTTTAAAAATGAAATCTTGGATTCTTTTAAATAACTAATCCGATGTATTTTTATCACTTTTTTGTTTAAAATGAAATTAGAAATGATTAGAAAATATTTTTACAATCTGGCAACCATGTTTCCTTTGAGTTGGCCTGAATTTTAAGCTGAAATAAAAAAAAAGATGTAAAAACAAGATGGTAGTTCTTAACATAAACAATGATTTTATCGCCCAGCTGTTGATCTAAAGTTTTTGTCTTGAGTAGAAGTTTAGTATCAAATTTAAAAACCTATGAAGTTACGACTGATTTAATTTAAAAGGAGCAAACTTTTCAGACTAGAGAGAGTTTGAGTCTTTCATGCTTTTTCTTTGTCTGCATTCTCCTGGGGTTTGTCTGCTCTGCTGTTCTTCAGGCGCAGACTGAGCTCCTCGGTTAGCACGGTGCAACATGACTTCTGCAGAGATCAGAGTAAGTAACAAACAAGTCATTTCAAATGATGACTAAAATCCAAACCTCAGATCATCAAATCCTTGAATCATCTGAATTGTTTGTGATTTCATTTAGTTCCATTTGCAGAATATAGGTAAAGATTTGCGCACATTTTGTAATTTTCAACCCAGCGACTGACACCTGGCTCGTACCTGCAGTTCGGCTGCCTTTCTGCGACTCTTAAAGGTGAGCTCCAGAACGGCCAGGAGGGTCCCGAGCCCGAGGCCCAGAGCAAGCACCAGGAACATCCCCTTCAGGCTGCACGGCTGCACGGCTGCAGGTTTGGCCTTGTCTGTAATGCAGCTGCTGGCCCACCACTTGCTCCGCAGATAGGCCAGCTCCCCCGCCTCGCTAAGCTGGAGGATTGCCACACTGAGGTTCTTTATGATCAGGGAACCTTTATTAAAAGGAACAATTTTAAAAGATATTGATGCAATGCTTTTATTTTGTTTTAATATTTTTTTGTACAAAAAATTACATTCATAAGACATTAGAAAACATTATGAACTACAGTTGAGAATTGGGTTAGAATTCCTTCCTTCCAACCCCAATTCCAATCCTTCTTACAAAACTAGTTTAAACTCTAATTCCAACTTTAATGTTAACCCAAAGTCCAATCTAATTCAAACTAATTCCACATTTTATTTAAACCCAATTCCATCCCTTTTTCCAACCCCAATTTAAACTGGGGTTTAAACTGGGGTGTACCCTGGACAGGTCACCAGTCTGGCGACCTTTACATGCACAGACTCACACTTAGGGAGAATTTAGAGAGACCAATTAACCTAACAGTCATTCCTAACCCAATACCAACCCCATTTAAACCCCAATTCCAGCCCTCCTTTTCGTTTTAGCTCATTTTAGCTTACAAACTGTTGTAACTTTCCAGCTCAGTGTTGAAAGCATTGCTCTGCACACGTTTCTAATACTCTGGATGAGATTTTTAAATTGACTGAAAACGCTTCACTCCTCTTCTACAGTTTTAATATTTTGCAGACTTTTGTTTTATTCTTCTGGTTCTGACTGTTTCTTAAATTTCTGCAAGTCTTCTGCAATTTTTACTAATATATTCAGCTTACAGCATTCACACTGCATTTCTGCAAGCAATGCATTTCTTCTATTGTAAGAATGATTTTTGTGCATTTTTTGTATATCCCATAGATCTATCCTAACCTGTATAAGGAAGCATAGTAGATCACCTTAAATGTTTTATATTTGATTAACATTTGGTGAATCAAATTGAATGACATTCTAAGAAGAGGATCTTTACCAAGTGGGGCAGCAATGCTGTATCCTCTCATGCCGATGACCTCATGCACTCTCACCAGCTCACAATGACGCGCTACAGCCAAGTCCAGAGAAACCGATTCTCCGATGAAGGCAAAGTTTCCCTCCTTTGCTCGTTTGACCCCCTCGTCCATAGACGACACGAAGCTCTGCGTTCTCTCCATGTGTTCGTAGATTCTGCGGTATACTGGGTTGTTTGAATTCTGGGTGAAGGAAAGAAACAGAACCATTTCCAGTGAGTCCAAACGGGGCAGACCAGCCACGCCAGGCCACACTCACCTTGAAGAACGCAAGAGTGGAGGAACCGGCCAGGCATCCGTACTCGATGGTGTCCTGACCAGCCAAGTCCTCGAACCCTTTCACGGTCAGGTGACTGGACTCTGAGGTTCTGGAGGAGCTGAGGTTGGAGAAATAACAAGCCAATAGAACGACAGAAAACAGCCACCAGCTGCTGCAGATGACACGTCCTGAAAGGGCTTTGGGGTGAGGACCAGCACCTGAGATGCACAACAGTAAGTAAATATTGCTTTAATATGGCTGTTATGCCTGCAAAAACACAAAATCTTACCAAGTATTCCTGGTCTAGTTTTACAGTGTAAATATCTTAGTACACTTAAAATTAGACTAAATTAAAATACAAGTAACTTTTCAGCAAAGAATAGGAGAAATGTGATGTTTCATTGGCAGATAATTTCACCTGTAACAACTACTCTTTCATTAATATTAAAGAATTTAATCAAGCTTGTATGTCTTGCTGAAAAATTACTTGTAAATTAGTTTTGTGTTATTTCAAGTGTAATACAATATTTGCTCTAGTGTAGATAAAAAAATAATTGCTAAAAATGTGTGTTTTTGCAGAGTTGTGACCTACATTTTGAAAGCATTTTGGAGTAAAAACATTTTTATAAACAACGTTTCTGCTAAAGTTGTTTTTGTTATTGACTTCATATAAGAAAGTATCAGTATTTGGTATAGTAAGAAATGTTATGCAGCGTTTTGTGGGTGACTTTGTTCAGTTTACATTACGTTACTCTGCTATAATTCAGTTTTAACGGGCAGAATTTTACTCTAAGTAAATAATAATACTCTTAGTAAATATTTATTAACAGTCATTGTATCAAGCTATTATGTGACAATATTGGATTTTTAAAAAAATGAATAAAAAGCTGTTAATGATCGTTAACCAATTAGTTAAAAGCTAAACCTTGTTTTTGCTGTACCTTGTAGAGTCAGAGCTCCAGCTGCGTACCACAGGCTGGAGAGGAAACTGAATCTGTTTCTCTCAGTCTGAGCCTCACTCCACTCACATGGGCTTACTCTGTATGTAAGGGGGAAAAAAATCATTTTTAATTAAACTTTTAAAAGCGACATCTAATATCTAGTATAATAAACTGGTATCACCAACCTGGCAGCTATGAAGATGCTGGCTGCAGTGGCCATGTAGGCGATGAGAATGCCGATCCAGGTTTCTGGCGCGAAGGGCGACAGGAAGTCAAAGAAACCTGCTCCCTCTGAGATGTCCTTCCTCAGCAGGATGCTGATCCCAGTCTGCATGAAGGGCTTGGTCATGCCCACAACTTTCTCCCGCGCTGCAGTCAGAGTCAGCGGCGCAATCGCAAGATCTGCCTCCTGTGAAATGAGAAGATCAATGAATTTTATATTCTTTTTTTTTTAATTCTCAAGTGTTTTGAACAGTGGTTGCTGGGCTCACCCCTCTCACCACCTCTCCAATCATCCCGTTCCAGTTCCCGCTCTCATCCTGCCGACCGTAGGCGCCATCTTTCACCAGCTTCACTTTGTACTTGAGTCCAACTTTCTTGGCCACTTCGGAGAGCAGATCCATGCAAAAGCCTTCCAGCTGACCTCCTTTGGACATTGTATATGGATCTTGCTGGTAATGCATACAGACACAACTTCAGTTGTCCTGAACCTTTTGTTTAATGATCAAACCGATTGATTGAAATAAAAGAGGAAGACCAACTACCTTAATGGTTGTGATTCTCAGTTCAGATTGTGCTGATTTTGGAAGAGAAAATGGAAAATATGTAATAAATTAGACAGTGTAGTATATTTCAGGTTAGTAGTTGCAAAGAATTCGATAAAACAGCAGCACAGTGCCATGACCTAATTGCCTCTAATCAGAGGCTTAATTAAACATGAGCTCACTGCAAAACAATGTCATAAATGTAATAAATTAAGACCCAGTACATCAGTCATGAAGCTAGTCCTGCTTAATTTTTCACTTCTGGTCACTAAATGTTTTTAAATAAATCACTAGACCAGCTGGTTTAACTCTGACTGATCTGAGATGGGATTTGGGGTCCCTGAAGGTCACAAAGTGCTTCTGGTCCTGGAGATTTGGCCACTTTCTTTCCATGAAAGTAGACTCTGCAGTCTATTTAGAGCAGAGTGTTAATTTAAAGAGCCTCATTGGCATGGCAGTGTTTGATGGGAGCGCAGACAAAGAGTATCAAAAGCCTGAATCCAGGCCAAGGCCATGGGGATCCGTCACCACAGGGTGATCCTGACAACCATCAGATCCTCCTTTTCAGAAGATGACACGTCATAAAGGCTCTTCAAGGCCCTGTCACTCTCTGAATCAGAGCGTCTTTGTCCGCATCAAAGACTCGATTTATTACCAATTTTGCGAGATTGTCAGTTGGCTCGCTCCCCTCTCCGTTTTTCCACAAGAGTTGGACAGGATGCGGCGCTAAACTTTGATATTCATCCGAGCTGACAATGCGCGTATTTAAGTCTTGTCAAGCTTGAGAAGTTTGGAGCACATCCTGTGGAGAAACATGAGGGATTTGGCAGAGAGCGAAAAGGGAAGCTGCCACCACACCGAATGAAAAATGCCTTGACTGGGGTCATAGGTCAAGAGAAAAACAAACTCGCTTTTCTTCTGACACGCTGTCCACAGCAGTAACGTACAGAAAATGTGCTAAACTGCTGCAGTTTGTGTTGAAGCAATGGCGTCTCTTACCTGCAGCACACACCACCAGATCCAGGAAAAACCCAGAGGACAGAAGAAGAAACACAAACAGCATCCTGGCTCTGTTCACCTGTAGCCGACAAAAACAGGATTTACAGTCCCTTAAGAGTGAGCTGAGCTAAATGAAGAAGAGTGAAATGAAAGCTCTACCTGAGATGAGCCCAACGCGCCGAGCTGAAGACGGGACCCAAATGCTGAGAGCCGAAGTTTTTCAGCTTCATGTCCGTCAGCAGAGAGCCAATGAAGGTTTTGTGGGTGGAGATAAAAACTATGGATTTCTGATGAAAGGGTGGAGAGAAACAGCATGATGTCCAAACACAAAGCTGCCCCTGAGGAATGAGAGTTACTCAGTATGTGATCAAATACATTATTTATTATACATAATTGATCAATATTAAGATGTCAGCTGAGAAGGACTGATTTAGAGATATAAATAACTCTAAAAATAGATATTAAATAATGGTCTCAGTCATTTATTGCCAAAAGAGATTTTTATTTTTATGTTTTTGTCTAAAATTTGCAAAAATCACTTTTGGCTAAAAATGACTTGTATCATTATTTTAGGAATGTGACGATGTGTAGTATTCACACCAATTTCTTATTTCTTATATATTTAATAATATTTGTTTACTCATCGTTTGGTATAAAGCTATTATTATGATTTATAAATCATAATCATTATTATTATTTATTTATTTATTGCAGATTTTGTTGATTGATTGTTTTCTCAGGTTATAATTCACAAAAATGACTAAATATTGAATAAGCAGGCATCTAGATTTAAAGATTCATTATTATTAAAACAAAAATACCACTGGAAACACGCAAAAGCTGGCCAAATCATTAATCATTAAATTTATTGCTGAATTGCAAATAAAGATGGAGATTTTGGTTATTCATTGCTTAATTGACATTTTTTAAAGGTGTGAATAAAATCAAAATTGTTTTTCCAAAAAAATTTTATACATTGAGAAATGTTTGCCTCATTTGTTTTTCTGAGAAAAAAAATCTGTAGCTTAGTATAATATTTTATTCATTTAAAGTGAACCAACAAATATAACCAATATAACAGCAAGCATGAGTCAATGGGAGAATAATTTTTTGGCAAAGGCAGAAAGGATTTGGCAGGTTTCCCATTGAAGCAACCCACAAAGTCAATTCTGTTGTTGAGCCCACAATGTGTTTTTCCTTACACTTGCAGCAAAATAAGTTTTCCAAATGATTGCCAAGAGGGATTACTATGAGAATTTTTGTGTGTGCTGGATGGATTCTCAAATATGCTGGAGGTTTATTCCTGTGAAAGATTAATTTTTTCTTTCTGCTATTGATACATACATACTAGTCGAGGAGGGAATGTCGCAAGAGTTTATCACTACTTCAACACATTTTTACTCAAGTAAAAGGAGAATGTGGAAAGAAATTAGTCAAGTAAGAGTAAAATAGTACTTGGTAAAACGGTGACTGCTGAGTAAATGACTTAATATTAAAAAATTACACCATTAAACATACCAAAATTAAAATCATGTAGAAACATTGGAATTTTAAAGACCAATATGAAAATATTTTATATAAATACCATAATTACAAAATAATAAAACATGTTTCCAAATCTTTTTTTTCTTTCTTTTCAATATAGTACTTATAAAATGTTAACAAATCCTGCAGGTGTGTCTGTATCTGGTGAAATTTTTGGTTAAAACAACTTTATTCTTTTAGTGCGCTGAATAATTTCAGGATAATTTTATTTAATTTCTGGATATTAAATTAATTTTATGATGTCAAATTATGAAGTAACTTTATGAAGTTACTCACAGTAAGAGTAGCAATACTTAATAACAAAATTACAAAAATAAAAGTTAAAAAGTACAGCGTAGTAAAAACACTTCTAAAAGTAAAATTTTCCCAAAAACTTACTCAAGTAAATGTAACAGAGTAAATGAAACTAATTACTACCAACCAAGTCTGCTTTTTGTAGCCAATTTGAATAATAAACTGAACTTTTCTGCACTGTTTGGTAGAGATTATGTTTTTGTAAAGTGGTATTGAGAATTTGCACAATATAAACTAACTGATCTGAAATGATTTTACCATGTTTCGGGTTACATATTAATTACATATGATGTCCTCCATGTATGTGGTACACATGCCCTGTGGGAGTGAATATAAGGTGTGGTAAGGTGGCCGTGGATGTAGAGGAGGCCAGAGGGCGCGCAGACTCCGTCCCGTTGCTTTTCTCATCGCTTTTTTCCCTGATGAGCCCCAAACAGACTCCGATGAGTCCGATTGGTCTGACGGACCAACCGTTAACCGGTGCGCGTCGCGTGCGAGGTAAAGCGGCGACCAACAATTGGCCGAGGTGTTTTTTTTTCTCCTAAAGGGGCGTATTTTTTAAGCCATCTTGACTGAATATTTAGCCTCATCCTAGGTACTTTAAATTGATATCTTCGGGATTTCGCCGTCCCAGAGTTTCCCACCGCCGTCGTTCCAAAGGCTGGAGTCGCGCCAATGAAACCGGGCGGAGTTCGTGAGCCGAGGCGGAGCGGCGGCGGAGAAGCGGACCGCTGAAGATGACGCTGCTAACGGCTAGCATGTCCGCCTCGGTCGGAGTCTGTCACTAGCTGACATTTAGCCAGGTGCAGTTTTCCCCCCCCCTGCTTGGCACCGCAGAGGACGGTTCATCAAGGTAAACTGGGAGGGTGATTATTTTCTCGGCATTTTCAGCACCGTTTAAAATAACTGCCGTTTGGTCGCTCTATATCCGTGTGTCCTGTCCGACCGAGCAACGTTATCACCTCAGACACGGATAGAGACTGTCTTTTGCAGGGGTCTGGAGCACAAAGAAATACCAGAAACATTACTCGGCGTCTTTGTGGTGATCTAGCGTGTGCGTGCAATTAGTCAATACATTAAGGCACGATGCAGTAGAGAGCACCTGCTCTCTGGTTGCTGTTTGAATGTGTAATTGGGCTGCTAATGAACTTGCAACACAAGCGCTGTCTCTGCTGTTGTGCGCCTAAAATGGCTGACAGATGTTAGCTGCTTGGGCTGGTATTTAGCACTCTACAACCGAACTATGCACAGCAACAAGATGGGGAAAAAACACGGTGCTGTCTTGTGATTGGTCACAGGGACATACGGTCAGGTCACAGAGTGCTTCGAGGGACCAATAGGAAGAGAGCAGAGATAAACGCATGTAAGCAGTTATATGCTGTATTTGTGTTTTGCAGCAAGGTTGGTTGAGGTAACAAACTGTGTTATTACAGAGCGAAGAGCCAGACTTCAACCCTTTTTACATATTAACTATCGTTTTACATCATGGAGTTAAAATTGAAGTTAAAATGTAAAGCAAAACATTTTTGTCATACAATATATTAATTACTTAGAAATAAATGCGACATTTTGTAATTTATTGTTTATATTACTTTCTAAGGTTGTTGCACTTACTCCAAAAAACATTTAAGTATCAAAATAAATTGTTAGGTAAATAGAAATTCATTATATTTCTAGTCTATTTTAATTATTACAGTAATATGTAAACAAAATGTGCCTTGGTAGGTTTTTGCCGACTGCCAAAACCTGAAACAATTATTTATTAGGATGGCATTTTACCCCTCTGAATAAATATACTGACATTGAATGCTTTAACATGACATTTTTGCATGATGCCATACAGCTGCATTGAAATATTCAATGATTTTAAGGCTTTTTGTACAGCTACTTTCTGAAAGTAGAACAGCAGTTTTTTGCAAAAACTTGAATCATGTCATTCTTTCTTTGTATCCTGTAGAAAGCAGGAGTAAAGTCTCATGCGGAGGCTGAAGAGGTGGGAATGTGAGACGACTGCTAGAGGACTCAACATGGGAAGGGGACGAGGGAGGGGGAGAGGAAGAGGCAGACAGGCGGGTCAACCGAGGGCTCCCTCGCCTTACCGACTGCAGCTCTCCCCGTCCAGGGAGACTCTGACGTATGCTCAGGCCCAGAAAATTGTGGAAGTGGATCTCGATGGAAGACTCCATCGGATTAACATCACAGATCCTCTCCCGGTCATCACAGAGGATGAGATGATGGCTCAGGACATTGCGGAGTGCAACAGCAACAAAGAGAACAGTGAGCAAATGCAAGGTAAAAACAGGTCATGGAGGAAACCTTCTATCAACAAAAGCCGAAGGAGTGGTAAAAATACATCTCAGCAGAACCAGCGGTCTGGCTCACAGCAGCAAACAGGATCTTCTTGTTCCTTCCAGCACCCGTCCCACCAAAGCCCCCTGCCGGAGCCCACCTTTCGCGAGCTGAGCTCTGTTTCCCCCTGTGAAGCGCCTCCGCTCCCGACAGCCTATTACCGCTACATAGAGAAGTCTGGGGAGGAGCAGGACAATGTGGCTGAATACGACATGGACGAGGAGGACCTGGCTTGGCTGGAGATGGTGAACCAAAAGAGGGTGTGTGACGGCCATGCGTCTGTGTCTCCAGACACGTTTGAGCTTCTCATCGACCGCCTGGAGAGGGAGTCCGTCCTGGAGTCACGCAGTCAGGCTTTATCTCAGAACGCAGTCGATGAGGACGCCTTCTGCTGCGTCTGCCTAGACGACGAGTGTCTGAACAGTAACGTCATCCTGTTCTGTGACATCTGCAACCTGGCCGTCCACCAGGAGTGCTACGGTGTGCCCTACGTACCTGAAGGCCAGTGGCTGTGCCGCTGCTGCCTGCAGTCCCCCTCCCGCCCTGTAGACTGTGTACTCTGCCCCAACCGAGGAGGTGCCTTCAAACAGACGAGTGACGGACGGTGGGCCCACGTCGTTTGTGCCATATGGATCCCCGAGGTATGCTTTGCCAACACGGTGTTCTTGGAGCCCGTTGAGGGGGTGAAAAATATCCCCCCAGCTCGCTGGAAGCTCACCTGTTACCTCTGTAAGCAGAAAGGCAGGGGAGCTTCCATCCAGTGCCACAAAGCGAACTGCTACCGGGCTTTTCATGTGACCTGTGCCCAGAAGGCCGGACTCTTCATGAAAATAGACCCGGTCCGAGAGACTGGCGTCAACGGCACCACCTTCTCTGTGAAGAAGACAGCTTTCTGCGAGAATCACTCCCCTGTCGGGTCTCGGCGGGATGCGTCTGGGGATGAGTCTGTGGAAGGAAGACTAGTGGGGGGACGGGGAAGTCGGGGACAGAGGTCATATACTCAGAGCCCTCCGTCACCAACCAACAAGAAGCCAACCAAAGGCCAGAAGAAGAAGAACAGTAAAGGGTCTGGGTCAACACGGCGTTCGAATGTTCCTGTGCTGCTTGTACCTCAGATCCCCTCTCACAGGTCAGACTTCTACAAACTTCTTGGATTATTTTCCATCTTCTTACATCAAAAGTATTTTTTACACTCATACATTATTTAGCTACAAAATTACCTTTTAATATGTAACTGTTACATTGTTCATCACAGGCTAAACAAGATCTGCACAGGAGTTGAAGTACAGAGGAAAAATCAGTTCATGCAGAGACTTCATAATTATTGGTTACTGAAAAGACAGTCGCGAAATGGCATGCCTTTAATACGCCGACTTCATTCCCATCTACAGACACACAAGGCTGCAGAGCAGGTGAGCACAGGATCTGTTGTCTTCTTTTCATTCAATTCGTCTACAAGACATGAAGCATCACCCCGCAGTGTTTTCAAACATAATCAAATTGTTTGAATAATATACAGTACCTTACTACTTTAAGTCTAACTACTTCTTTAACTTTTTTCTCATTTTTTGTTTTACAACCACAAACTTCAATGTATTTTATTTGATTAACTGGCATAAAGCACTGCATAATTGTCATGTGGAAGGAAGTACATACATGGGTTTTCAAAAGTTTATGCAAATTAATAATCTTATTAGTATGATGTGCAATGTATTAGATTCAATCTCCACCAGATTTGTCCCGTAGATTTGTCTTTCTCATTTTACATTGTTTAAAGAAGTAACACCAAAACTCTGTGGACTCAATGCCACTTGCAGAACTTTAAGTATAGGTTTTCCTTCCAGTATAAATAAACCTCATCACTTCCTCATACAGATGCTACAAGAGATATTATTCATACTTGAAGAATTAATACCTTTTGTGCCTTTACTTCGATGTTCAGAAGGAACCTGATGAGAAGCTAAGTGCTGCGAGAGAGGAGTTACGGTACTGGCAGAAGTTAAGGCAAGACCTGGAAAGAGCTCGACTTCTAGTGGAACTCATCCGCAAGAGAGAGAGGCTTAAAAGAGAACAGGTAAAGGAGGAGGGATGTGTTTCTTAAAACAGTTCTTTATCACTTAGAGTTCATTTACAACAGTTCAGTTCATTTGGGGAGATGTGAATATGCAATCAAACTCTGATGTAGATGAAAAAAAGACAATTTCTGGTCTGCCCAAAAACCTTGGTTTCTGTTTGGTTGAAGTGAACTTTAGTGCCGTTCGAATACATATGTGAATACTAAGCGGCCAAAAGCAGAAAGTGGACTACAGTGCAGGGCATTCTGGGTAAATATAACCTAACCAGACTTAGCGCTAGCAGGAGAAATGGATCTTGGTCTTTTACCAAAGACAAAAGAGAAATCCTACAATTGCTAAAATCTCATATCACTTCATTTTTCTTATCATTTTGTGAAGAGAGGAGTTGCACTCATGGCTTCTTCAGAGGTTTTTGTGTCTTTTACCTGCGTGGTTCTTGGTACAGCGCCACCACAGGCAAGAAAAGGAACAGGTTTTTCTATTGGTTTGGATTGGTTGACACAGTGCAGTCAGAAAGTGATCCGCTCCAGATGAAGATGTAAGAAATGTTACAATTTTGATCCCTAATCAAAACCTGGTCTACTGGACTCAATTTCTCATTCGCCTGTCAAAATATTAATAAATAGACTAATTTTTGGCTTTGAAACATCATGCATACATAATGTTACAGAAAACTATTTATATACTATGATTAAATATGAAGAGGTTTAATCAGTCCCTTTGTAATATTTATTAGTTTAAATCTAAAAGCATGACCTTTTAATTTTCTCTGCTCTCCTGTGTTTTTATGTCATCAGATGAAAATCCAGCAGGCTGCCCTTGAACTGTCGCTGACTCCTGCACAGGTGCTTCTCAAATCCACTTTGGACCAACTACAGGAGAAGGATTCGGCCAAAATCTTCTCTCAGCCAGTCAATCTGTCAGAGGTTGGTGGAGTTCCTGAAATACCCTTTTTATTCCAAATGCTGCCCGTGAGTATGACCGGCTAACATTTTTATTTTGAATTTTATACTGAGGTCCCAGATTACCTCGAGTTTATATCCGAACCCATGGACTTCTCAACGATGCGAAGCAAACTGGAGGGACACGCTTACTGCTCCATCGGAGACCTGGAGAAAGACTTTGAGCTGATGATTTCCAATTGCCTCAAATACAACTCCAAGGACACTTCGTTCCACAAGACGGCCTTACAGCTGAGGGAAGTGGGGGGAGCCGTTCTGCGTCACGCTCAAAGGCAGTATCAGAGCATCGGCCTTGACCCCAGCACTGGCATGCATCTGCCGGAGGCACCGAACAAACACGGCTTCTATCAGTGCACGTGGGAGGATGGTGAGCTGAAAAATGAGTTGTACTCTTTCCTAAGCACTCCATAAGTACAGCGCTGGTGAGAAATATACATGCACTCATGACGATGATTGTCATAGTGATCATTTTCAGTGTTGAGTTATTATATACTTTAAATTTTTAGATTTTATTGTGAAGTTTCTATAATCCACATGGTTAAAAATATAACTGCATGATCACATAAATCAGTCTTTATGAAAAAGCTTGGATAGACGGACGTTAGAGACACGTTTTAAAATGTACAATTTCACATAAAAATTTAAACTGTGGACATTTTTAATGACCTGGTTCTTCTTGACATCCAGATATACGTCATCCTTAAAACAAACAGTTGAAGGTGCGGATTGTCCGACTTTTTTTTTTTTTTTTTCAATGAATCATCACTGATTGGCTGGTGTCATGCATTATTTCAAGCATTTTGATTGGTCTAGGCACAGAAAGCATTAAGGTTGCTATTTTGCGCCACCATGCTTCACAGTTCTTTAGGTTGAAACCCTCCAGTGCTGACCACCTTAATCTTTGTTTCCTCTGACAATAAAACTTCATTTTTCTGAATGAAGTTGTTCTAATATTTAGCCACAATTATGCTAGGATCTTGTTTACGGCTACATCATCTAGATCTTGCTTTTTCTGAAGTTTAAGGGACATTTCTCTAAATATTAGTGGAGGTTACATGTTTATGCATGTTTATTTTTTACCCTTAACAGTATGAAGGTACTTTAAAAGTCCAAACTCACGCTGTTCATGCCTGTGATGAGTGTATGTAAACCTCTGACCTTGATCACTGTTTGTTTCTCTCTCCGCAGTCGACTCTCTGCTGGACCCTGAAAACAGACTGCACTTAACCACAGAGGAGCAACTGAAGGCCTTACTGGAGAAACTGGACATGGTGACGTCAATGCGAACGAGCGGCGGCCGCACCAAACGCATCCGGCTGCTGCGCCGGGAGATTAACGCTCTGAGGCAGAAGATGAGCCAGCAACAAAACGTCCAGCCTGTCAACGGAAATAAAAAGAAGGATGACGATGAAGAGGAGGTGGAGGAGAAGAAGAAGAAGAAGAATAAAGAACAGAAGGAAAAAATAAAGAAAAAAGACAAGGTGGACGTTGATACTGAGCCTTTGTCTGATGTGCCAAACTCTGGGTCAGGTAGGATCACAGCACTTTCATCATTGAAGAATGGTAAAAAAATTATTTAATTATTGAATAACAATAATTGTTGTACTTGTAATCACACTAATGTCTGAATACGTCATTAAGTAAAGAACAAAACAAATTTTATTTATATGGCACATTTTACAGGTCAGAATACCATAAAGTGTTTTAAAATATAAACAAACTTTAAAAACTTTGTGTTTTTTCATAATATTGCACTTTTAGTTCACTATTAAGGAGGTAAAGGAATTATAACGTTTGCTTAATGTTATTCTTAATCATGAACAAATTATTAATTTCAAAAGCTAATTGAGTTATAAGAATATTAGAATATGATCTGCATTTTAAAGATTGTATGTGGACATTATTTTACAGTCTATTGATCATGATGAAGACATTTTTATCAGCATTGATTAGAAGAGGTCAGATCACTGAATGAAACCAGTAAATGGCTAAATATTTGTGTAAAAAAGTCAACCATATTTTTTAATATTCAGACTGATTTCTCCCTGATGCAGATGACTCGCCGCCCGTTCTTGAACTCACCTGTCCGGTATCGTCACCTCTACCTGGAGATGCTCCCCTGGAACCACCTGTCCTGGGCATTGTAACCGGAGGTCAGAGGTCACCTGGGCGCTCCTACAAGCGTCAGAGGTCCTCGCGCAGCGGCAGCAAAAGCCAAGGTGAGGATGAGGCTGAAGTTGGAGAAACGCCGTCTTCCCAACCAGAGGCTGTTCACGAGGTCACGCCGCTCGGCTCGCCTCCGGCGCTGCCGCTGGTTGGAGTCGGCCGGCGCACGTCCGTGTTGTTTAAGAAAGCTAAAAACGGGGCAAGAAAAAACAAGTCGTCCCAGTGGCAAAATGGGAAAACATCTGATGAGAAAACCAACGGGCTGGACAGCGCTGCCGTCGATTCAAATTCCCCCAGTGAGAACATCACCACCTTACCTCCTACCCCCAACGCCTCTCCCGCCCCCTCCTCTCCTTCCTCACACCATCTGCGGTCCAGAGGCCCCAGCTCCGAGAGCGAACATGACAAACCGACTGCAACCCCCAAAGCAGAAGGTAAGGCAGGACACATCCCTACATCACTACACACATTAGGCGGCAGAACGGTCATCTTTGTTTAGCTTCAATGTTTGGTTTTTCTAGCTCTGACTAATGGAAAGCACACGTCTGGAAACCAAGATGGTGGTGCTGATGATGAGGAGGAAGAGGATGATGACCCAAACCTAACGTGAGTGCAGGACATCAGACACAATGAGCAAATAACTTCCTACCAGCATGGAACAGCTGGACTGGAAAACCTATCACATTATATGTGTTTCATGTCAGGCCATGTTGATAATTATTGATTAGTTTATTTGGTTCTGAATATCTGAAATACTTCCAAACTGGTGGTGTGACCTTTCCTGTTTCATTCACAGTTTTCAAACCGCTGTTTTTATTTATAAGGGACAATAATGAAACATGAAACTGCTGCTGCACGAGTTACTCACACATTGTTGCTAGGTAGCCAAAGAATGAATGAGTTGCTATTGTTCTCCAAACGATACAAATGTGAACATTTGTGGTTTAGTTAGAAGACAGTGGGATAATTTCTATGTCCTAATAAAAAATTACTCAATCTTGTCCTCAAATGCCTTTAGTTTTGATCAGATCTTGTGTCTCAGAGAAAACTTGGTTTAACAGCAGTGGTTAAGAAACATAAAAACTAAATACAATATAACCTTTAGCTGTAATAATATCAGCTAAATTTGACAAGAAAAGATCAATGCTTCTGAAAATTCAATGAAAACTTGGGTCATGTGTTTCATTCAGTACAAAGAAAATCTTTAAATCTGTTAGAACTGACTTTATTAGCTAAAAGGTAAAAATGATCCATGTTTACTGCTTCTCTCATGTGTAGTCCTTCCCCTCCCAAACGCAGTCGAGGTAAGCCAGCTTTGGCTAAGGTTCCCAGCAAAGAAAATGGAGACATCTCCAGCTCTGGTGTGTATCATGTTGTACCAAATGCGATTGCTTGTCATACAGTTTGAACAAACTCTAATTTTTTGAAGCTGCAGTGAATAGAGAGGAAGAGTATTAACGGAGCGTCCTGTTCACAGGGAAGTCTGCACTTCTGTCTATAGATAGTGAGACCGAACTTTCACCACTGGACTTGGTTTGGGCGAAATGTCGAGGATACCCGTCGTATCCAGCAATGGTGAGTTCCTACTGTACAGCTAACCCAGGGAGCTGCAGCCTTTACACCCTAAAGAGACATTTTTACCATCAGAACAGACAAACAAAACTCGTTTAAAGACACAATTACCACAAGTTTTGTTTTATGTTGTTTTTTAAGACAACTTGTAACTTTAGATAAATATCTACTATTGGAATTTGTTAAAGAACTGGCATTTTATTTCTAATTGTAGGATTTAAAATAAAGATAAACATAATATTTAACATAAATAGGGTTGATCTTTTTTTTCTGTAGGATGGAAAATGATGTATAAAATAAAATACAACCACATGGATTCCATATCTAAAATAGGGGTGAAACTAACAATTATTTTAGTAATTGATTAAACTGTAGTTAATTCTGACATTAATCTAATTTTTTGTTGTTTTTTAAATGATACATTCTAATGTTTTTTTCATTTAACTATCTAAGCCTTTTTGTTAGAAAATGCAATAAAAATAATTCAGTCCCTCTTGTTTATATTGCCTAAAATGCAATACCATGGCATTCCTTTGCTAAATCTGAACTGGGTGAAGCCACTTGAAGAGTTTTGGCTAAAACATATCTACAGACAAAGGTTTTTATTAGTATTATTATTATTATTCATAATGTCTATAGTTTTTGGTACAGATTTTGCTTAATTAATTAACTGATCTGACTTTGTTGTTATTTGAACAAGTGGTCATTTTTTGAATCTGTGTTCTCCAGTTAGTGATTTATCAGTTGTAAAATTAGGTGAGAATTATTTCAATAATCAATTAATCACTTCAGCCCGACTAAAAACATATTACTTGTACTTTTGGTGTCCTCCTTTGCAGAAACTCAGTGCAGATATCGTAGGAATAAACTGAAAAACGATAAATACCTGGATTTGTTGTACCTAAATTTGGAAACATTGGCTGATTTGTTTTGACTTCTAGCCAAAGTTATTCAGTCATTGTGGGAAGAGCTTCAGGTTGCAGAGCGTTGAGCTAACCAAACAGCTGAATGAACACCAGCAGCCGTGCAGCTGACCTCAGTGATTGTTGCAGATCGTTGACCCCGACATGCCTCAGGAAGGACTGCTCCATAACGGCATCCCCATCCCAGTGCCTCCTGGAGAGGTGCTCAAACTGGGGGAATGGAGACACACCGACGAAGGCCACAAGCTCTTCCTGGTGCTCTTCTTCGACACAAAGAGGACTTGGTAAGATATTTGACACATTAGCAAACCCCCTGGTGTTTTAGCACGAGTGTAAAAGTTTAAAATCTTGATGTGTGTGTTTTAGGCAGTGGCTCCCTCGAAACAAGCTGCTGCCGCTGGGGATGGATGACACTGTAGACAAGCTGCGCCTGATGGAGGGCAAGAAACCCAGCGTTCGCAAGTCGGTCCACACGGCGTACGACCGCGCCATAGTGCATTTAAACCACGTGAGACAAAATCTCAACTTCACTCCCTCCAATTTTATATAAAGTTTATTTTAAAAGGATTTTATCATCTTAAAGGAGCTGTTTGTAGAAACCCACAGCAGCTCCTTTAAAGTTCTTAAAACAGTTGCAGCTGATGGTGTTTGGAGGTTTGCTATGCTTGGATTTGGTAGAGGTTCCATAAATGTCTTTCATAAATCAATTTGTTAATTCTTTTCTATGTACATTTTTAAAAATGGAGTTTTCCACATCCACTGTTGCTGTGTGTCGATACGAAGTTTGTGCATCAGGCCAAAGTGGGTGGAGACCAGATAGAGAGAAACGTGTCAAAGGGATTGTTTATGGTTCCAAACGTATTTAGATTGTATTTGCTCTTGAAATGTCACTGTGTATAATGAAGTGTGAAAGTTTCACCTTAGCATGCGTTTCACACCTAGACCTGGAGTTTCACACGCAGCTGAAACCAGATATTTACATACACTGGACTCACTGACGCTAAGTAAGACTTCGCCTCATTGGACGATCAGTTTGTGCCACAGCTTTAAATTCCTGTGCAAAATTCAGTGCAGATATCGCACACCTAATATTGAAGAGGTTGGTTTAATATTTCTAAATAATATCCCTCCTCATGAAAACACCCCCGCATCATGGTGCTGCCACCGCCGTACTTAACTGTTAGAGTGGTGTTATCAGATTTGTAATCTGCCCCTTCTTTTTCTGTTGTTGCTCCTAATCTATGGAACAATTTGCCCTTTCAGATTAGATCTGCTTACAGCCTGGATCATTTTAAATCGCTTCTCAAAACTCATTTTTACTCGTTGGCTTTTAATTGAGCAAATTTTGATATTCTGTTTTTATCTATTTGTGCTACCGTCATTCCTGTGCAGCACTTTGGTGCAGTTCTATACCTGTTTTTAAAGTGCTATATAAATCAATTTGACATTGACATTCTTACCCTTCTTCAGACTGAAGGACTTTGACCTTTAATCCAAACTGTAGTTTAGCTTTTTTTTCACGTTGCTCTTCAAGTAATGGCTTCTTCCTCTCTGCGTGGCTTTTCAGGGATAGTTTCACTGTGGATAGCGACACTTTTATCAGCTTCATTCGGCTTCTTCACCGGAGGAAACAGGAGAAGGTCAGTCAGACAGCGAGGAGTGTGTAAATACCTGGTTTCTGTGGAGGCCACCAAATATTTCCTTTAAATCTTTTTGATTTTCTAAATATAGTCATTACATTATTATCATTTTCTTTGAACTCAATCTGTTTTATTCTAGGTTTATCTTTATTAGCTTTAAAATTCTTCAATCCCAGCTGAAATTATTTTTGTTCCAGCTGACAGTGCCAACATTTTTGCTACTTTTAGGTCCAGTTATGAGACGCTTTTGGTGAAACTTTGTTCGTGTTTGACTATTTTCCATATTGTGAAACTGTAATATGATAGTAGACTGAGAGTGGTCGGCGCGATACCACTACAGCGGTGATTCAGGAAAGCGATTACCCACCGGTGAAGAACTTTGCTCGTAAATCTGGCTGGAAAGACTTGAAAAGCACAAATGGTCTAGTTTTAATAAAATCTATACGATTGGTGTTTCCTGGAGCCAAATATGTGGCTAAACCTACTGCGTCTGTTCATGTACAGCTGATACATCTATGTATACAATCTCAGTGTGGTAAAAGTGCATGTGTATAGTTTTGTAAATATGTAAATGTATGTTTATATTCGCTTACATGAAGTAATTTAAGGAATGCAAAAATCAAATATAGAATTTAATTTATAATTTGTTGCCGTAGAGGGAGTTATTTAAAAAAACTGAATTATTGAAAAGATTTATGTATGGCGCTGAGTAGCTCTTTATAGTAGTGACAGTGTTTTACCAACATGTCGGCAGAAAACGCGGTGACACACGACTGTAGACAGCAGACTACAGATTGTTTTCATTTTTCTCGGTGGCACAGATGTTTTTGATCTTGTCATTTAAAGTCTACCGCAAGATCTATTGTCTGCCTGAGACAATATTTTCTCACAGGAATAAACGCTGTTTGAAACAACTGCTGGTGGCGTTTTTGATGAGAACTTGTGGGGTTTTGACAGACCTTTGTTCACAATTTTAGATGTCATTTAAAACAGTTAGTTGTTTTTTGTTTTGTTTTTTTGCACATGGAAAACCTGAAAGCTGTGCTGTCAGTTTGTAGTCAGCATAATGCTGCCTCCACCATGTTCCCCTGCTCATAATGTGTCTACAAGCCTGTTGCTTTTGTTTCCACTCGTTGATGAAACTTAGATTTGTGGACTAGGCAACTAAACAACTGTTAATTTGCACAGTCCTCTGTTTTTTATAATTTCTTGATGTTTAAAGGTAATTTGTTGCATTGGATTTTATTTTTTCTAGAAATATCTGAGTACAGGGGGCTGAACAAATGTTTATTTAGAGTTAAAATATAAAAACTAAATAATTTATGTAATTATTATGCCACTTTACAATCATGCAATATTTTGTGGTTGGTCTAGAATGATGGTACCAACCAATGTACCATTGGTCTATATTTTCTCCCTTCTGTCTCCTTCCTGACCTCCTTGTGTCCTTCTGTCCTAGCACGTTTCCTTGTATTTCAAAACCTTTCCTTACCCCATTGGATTATATTCTCCTTTCTTACTTCCTTGTCTTTTCCATCTTTTTACCCTATAGTCTAAATATATTTGTCTTTTCCTTTTTTTCTCTTGTCCTTCCATTTTTCCTGTTTTCTGCTTTTCCTTTATCTTTGACTATATTTTGTCTTCAACACATGGTCAAAGAAAACGTGCGTCGTCTTTCCTCCTTATGATCTTCCTTTATTCCTTCTTGTCTGTTTCCTCCTCTTATCCTTCCTTCTCTTCCTTGTCTCTGTTCTCCCTGTCTGTTTTTGTAATATACCTAAAAGCTGACTACTGAAGAAATCGCCACACTAAATTTAGTTAATTTGTCATTTAAAATAAACAGCATGAAGACGTTGAGAACAACACATATAATCCCTGAAAAACACAAACACAAAAATATGTGCAATCTGAAATTTATTTCATGAAACCAAAAACATACTCTTCAGACTTTAAACGCATGAAAATTCCTCAGGAGACAAAAGTATGAAGACATCATTCATAAAGAGAAAACAGCCAATCTCTTCAGAGGAGAGATGATCTGCAGATAAACATGATGTGAAGTGAATAAACTCATCAAGTTGTCTGTATGACGATGATTCTGACTAGACACCTGGATGGTAATGCTTTGTCATCAGACTAAAATGTGTAACTTCTCTTTCAGCTGGATGTAGAAATATCAGCAGTAATGAAACCCTGCCGTTGGTTTTAAAACATAATCTGAGAATTTGTGTGTGGCCGTTCCAGTGTCATTATTCCAGTTTATGTGAATCGTAAAGCAAAAAAATAATTATTATTGCAAACTCCCCGCTTCCCAAAACATTTACAGGTGACCTACTTTTCTTGTTTGTTTTTTTTTTGATCAAACGAACTCTACGGATGTAGCTTATGATCGAACTGACATCTGAGTGATACATTCACAGCCTGTGAGGAAAAATTCTCCTTTTTTTCTGTAATAAAACAATATAAAAACTTTTTCACTTAAATATTTCTTTTTTTTTTCAATTGGGTTCTACCACAGTTCAAACTAAAACTTACTTGGCGCTTCGCCCCGACTGTCTCTAAAGGAAAGCATTGATGCAACAACATGCTCTCGCTCCCGGTGAGAGGAGAATACTAGAGACTTTTTAAATAGCCTAAAACATAGTGTTTGATTCTACTCGTCAGTTTGCGTCAAGTCCAGTACCTCTCAAAAACTGAGTTTGAAAAATACCTGCGAGTCACCATAAAAATTATTATTGAGTGAGGCAGCGGCTTCAGAGCAGAGTCCTATAGCAGAGACAGGAAGCCGTTATCTGTGGTGTCCTGCTGCTCGGATCTGCTGCTTCTTGAGCTCTTGCTGGGGTTCGGAGTGGTTGAATACTTAGGAGGGTATCTGATGAAGAGGCGGTCCTCCTCCTTTTTGATCCATCTCAGAAGCTTAGTGATGGCAGTAATTGCACAGGTCTTTGTCACTAGAGGGCTGAAGCATGTGTAGAGCTCAAATTTGCTGGTCACCTAAAACACAACACAACACGGGCTTAACTAAACATGAATATCAATGGTGGTCAGCAAGCAGCTCATTTGGATTTAAAGTGACAAGACGTCCTAAAATGGCTCATTTTGAAACAAGCTCAGAAAATCTCAAGTTTATATGAACTCATGGCCATTAATTTGGAACAACATAATGGTGCGGATGGAATAAGAAAAAGAGCAGTTTTAAATCAAATTTAAAACTGTTTCTCTTTTGAGTTATGTGCAGACAACATTGATTCAACTGTTTAATTTCAGAGCCTTTTTTGGTTGATATTAAGAAATTTCTGCACATTAATGAATATGCTAAAACAGCCCACTCATAAAATAAGCAGCAGTGAATATTGATCAAATCCCTATCAATGATAAGTGGATTATCATCTCCTTTTTTTTAGAAGTCCTAAAAATGAACCGATTGGAACGCCAGCGTCCATGAATTTCTAAAATCTGCATATATTATGCATGACTGCAGTAACTTAAAGCGCAGCTCCTCACCCAGGCCAGCAGAGTCTCCCTCTCAGCGACGTGGTAGATCAGCTTGAGGGGCCGTGAGGTGCTGTGGATGCGGCTGTGCATGTAACGATACAAATCCAGGAGACGCAATTTGTCCTCATCGCTGCTGTAGGGAGCCTCCATCTCAGGACTGCAGGCAGGTTAAACACAAAACGCTGTATGAAGCTCACAAATTATTATTAACACATATTCATAACCACATAGGTCTGTCGTAATATGTTTTTCCAGAAGTTATTGCGATAAACAATGATATTGTTGTTTTGAAAACATATTCCAGTAATATCACAACAAAGGCATAATAAGGTAAGTACACCATGATTTTATGCACAATGGCTCCAATATGCTGTAGTAAAGTACCCTGTCATTGCTACAGGATTAAAATCAAAACTACATTTCCCAACACACACCTGGTGAACTGAGTGAGCTGGCGGTAGTTGTCCGGCACGTCGAAGGGCTTGTACATGAAGTGCCTGAGGTCCGACACACCGACCTGGCTCACGCTGTACGACTGAGCTTTGGCGATGAGGCTCAGGGAGTTCTGCGCCAACATGGCCTCCTCGATCTTCCTCTTGCACTCGGCTACAGCGTAAAAAGCCTCCTTGTCCGTGGAAAGCAGCAGCAAACAAACGGTGCACTCCGGCGGGTCCAGGTAGGAGATGTAAGCATAAAAGTAACAGTCAGGGTTGAAGAGGGGCAGGCAGATTGGAGTCCAGATCTCCCCGGCCTGAAATGCAGACGAGGCTCCGATGAGGTTGAGCAGCAGGTGGACGTCAGCCGGCGCCAGCCTTGCATCCTCGATCACCGTCTTCTCCTGGACGATGGTTAGCAGCTGGTTTTTGGCGATGAGGATGGAGAAAACCAGGTTGGCGGTGATCGCTTTCTGCAGGATCTGGCTGAGAGAGTCCCTGAGAGAGGAGGCCAGAGGCAAGCAGTGCACGGCTGCCAGCAGGAAGCTCGGGTCCGAATCCACCAGGTTGAGAAGGCCGTCCAGGATCTTCTCGGATCCGGTCAGGAGTCGCCTCAGGTCGTAGTTCTTCTTGTGCTCAAAGATGCGGGATATGCTGGCCTGGGTGAGCATACTGATGATCTGGTAGTAGACGTAGAGGAGTTCTTCACGCAGCTGCTGCTCCGACTGACGACTGCTGGAGACGCACACCAGAACCAGGGGTCCTTTCTGCAGGAACACCACCGTGTGCTCCTCTGGTCGGACCGAGACAAACAAGAGGCCAAAGGGGTAAGTGTTATGAGTTTTACAGGCACATTTTATAGCATAACCAAGTCACTATCTAAACTTCAGCTGTTAAAAAAAGGCTGAATATAAATTTATGTATGACTTAGAAGAAATTTGACTTGGTAATTAAACACGTTGAAATCTGTATTTTATCTGCACAAAGTCATGTGTGCAGATGAAATTTTTAAGCAGTCGGGGCTAAAGAGGCAAAACCTGAAGCTGCTGCTGCTGCTGCAGTTGTTGCTGGGTAACCAAAGAGTGAGTGAGTTAATTTTATTTAGCTGGTTGTGAGAAGCTGAAAATCAGAATCCGAATTTATGTTATTGTCATTGTGCTAGAAAGAAACCACAACAAGATTTTAAAAAAAGCAACTCTTTGAAGGCAAGCTAATTAAATAAATAAAAATAGAAGAAGAAGACGTTGAGTGGCTAAAGTCTTTCTTCTTCCTATGTTTCCCAGAATGCTGTTCAGTTCTGGATCGGAGTTCAATGAATACTCTACATATTCAATATTGTATCATCTATTTATATTGATCTATGACGATATATATTCTTATCGATTTATAGTCCATCCCGATGTTTACCATCAGTCAATGCTCTCACCTGAATACACCGAGCGGATGATGTTATCTCCACTTTGGACAAACGACACCAGCGCCATCATGACGCCCATGGTGGAAGAAAGAGCCTCTTCGCTGCCGTATCGGGAATAAATAGGCTTTCCAGCTTCACTCAGCACAAACACGTGCTTCCTGTGTCGCCGCCAGCTGTCGGCTGTCACATCCTCGTCTCGATGAGAAATGAACGAAGGACACTCCTGGATTCCCGCCTCCAGTAACGGAGACGATCTTCCCTTCACGCCTAAACCTTGTTCCTCCAGCTTGGCCTTGGCCAGCATTGTAACAACAAACTCCCCCGAGTCGCTCTGATCGTTCTCAACACCAACATCTTCGGTCCCTCTGCCAGCTGAGTGGGCCGGCAGATTGTTCTGACAGTCTGGCGTCTCTGACTCTGTTCCCAGGTCGGAAGGAGGTTCTGCCTCCGGACCCGGATCCTCTACCGTAACATCAGACGGCTGCAGACCGGCCAGCTCGCTCCGGTTGACGCCGCCGCAAGCATTCGTTGCCACTGGATCGGGAAACATGTGGTTCCCCAAAAGACAGAGAGAAGTGGCCAGGGTGTCGGCTGCAATGAAAACAAAACTAAATTATGGAATAAGTAAAGAAAAACACAAACACCTGCGGAGGTGTGTCAGTGAGCAATAACTCAATCGCAGGATAAATTAATACAAGATCAATCATTTTAATTTGCATGATTTATTGTTTTTTTTCTCTTTTCTCTCTTTCTACCAAAAACCAGATGACAAAAGTCTTCAGTCTGGTGTTTTGATCTCAACTAGACACTTTTTGAAGGACTGTTTAGTTTACAGAGACTTCATTTTATATGTTGCTTCTGTTGTTTTGTTTATTAAGTTAGGATATTTTAAATTTCTTCCACTTTCTGTATGATAGGTCAATTAGAAATTAAGGCTTATTAATCTTTGAGAATATGTCCATTATTATGCCATTGTCATTACATTAATTGAAAATGGTCTCAAAACAAAAATATTACCAATTGTTGCAATAATCTCTGGGAAAATTGATCATCCAGCAAAAGTAGTTGACCTAATAAAATATTTGCAGGACAACTTTTAGTTCAAGTGTTTACCAAAAAGAAAGTCGTACTCCCAACCAAGAATGATACATACATTAGGAATTAAATTTATTGAATATATGCAATAAATGTTTATTTAAATCCTAATGGAGGAGATTTTATAATCGGCTACTGAAAGAAGTCAAACATAAATATTCATTTGTTCACTTAAAAACAAGATTCTTCTTCTGCAAGTTTTGGATATGACCTCAAAGCTTATGCATTAAAAACTATAAAGCTCAAATGCAACCAACACAAACCTGTAATCCTTATTTGCGTGCAAATTTGAATATGCAAAATTTGCAAAACAAATACTCAGAATGAACTCATATTTACCAGGTGGATTGTTCTCCGCTGGAGGATCAGAAATGTTCACTGCATGTGCTTCTCTGTCTGGATGGTGGTCTTCCTCCATGATACCATCCCAGTCACTATAAATAAGTAAAAGAATCCACGATTAAAGCACATCCACACTGAGCTGTGAGAGCTCATGAATGAGAGCGTTTATTCTGGAGGTCACATGATAACAGGGGAGAGAAACAGCTCCAGGACACCAGACAGACACTGGAATTCAAATCCGATTACAGCTTCAGTCGATCTAATGTTGCACACCAGCACAGCTCGAGAAAGCAAGAGGGAGCTAAGGATCATGTTGAAATAAGTTTCTCAACAGCAACCAACGTCAAATCTGCGACCACAAACACACTTAACGCAGTTAACCTCCCTGTAATGACAAATGTGTGGCGGTTAGTTGGAATGAAACTCGGCAAAGCGAGCTCTGTTGGACATGAAGCTAACAGAGCTCGCTGCTAACAAGCGACACACACAGATGAATTTCATGGCCTCGGTTTAAACGAGCTCCTCTTGAATTACACAGATAAACAAAACAACAGCAACACTTACGTTGGTAAAAGGTGAAAACGTTGCCTTTAAAGAATACAGTTGGCTACATTAAGTTTCCTCTGCAGCCCGTAGGCAAATGAGCTGTCAAGAATTAGAAGCCGAAAACAAATCTTGCTCTTACAACAGCGGACTTCCGGAATCGACGATGACGGGGTCAGCTGACCAATCAGAACGTCGGTAGGAGCCTGTCAGTCCCGCCCCCGCAGGAAACCTCAAAATCTGAGCGGTTGGTAGAAAAACACAACAGGAACGAGACAGGGCCGATTCTAGGTAAACAAGGGGTCGATGCAGAGTTTCCTGAAGGGAAACTCTGCATATCCTAACCTGTTTGCACATCGTGCATTTAAGACATGTTATAGATTTATCGAATGAGCTAACACTAAATTAGCTTATAATATCATTTATTGACTCAATATCAACTGGGCTGTTTTTTAAATATCACAATTGTATTTAGTTTGTGAAAATTGTGGTATTTCTCTGACAAAGAGCTGCTGCTCCTCCACGTGGAGGGAAGTCAGTTCAGGTGGCTCAGGTACGCCTGATGGATGGATGGATGGATGGATGGATGGATGGATGGATGGATGGATGGATGGATGGATGGATGGATAAAAGAAGAAAGTATAAAACTATTAGAATTAATGAAGAAAAATCCATAACATTGTAATTACTAATTGTGAAAGGGTTTCAAACTGTATTTAAATTACAGGTCCATCTCAATAAATTTGAGATTCATCAAAAGGTGATTAATTTCAGTGTTTCAGATAAAAAAAAAACAACTCATGAATCTATGCATCGATTCTAATTTCCAATTTGCTAAAAACTCTTGAATGGGCTCTGCTTCATAATCCTCTGAAAACTGCACTTAACTTTGTTGCTTGTGTGTGTTGTCCTTCCACTAAATCTTCCAACAAAACGCTTTAATGTTTTGATGTTAAAAATCCTTTTTTATTAGTTTTGGATTCTAACTTTTGTTTCTTTAATATTGGGCGTTTATAAGGTGTAAGCCATAATAATACAATTTTATAAATTATTTAAAATAAAATGTAATAATAAAATGCGAATATATTGGGCAAAAAAAAATTTAAATCAGAAGAAATTACAAGAAACACCTGAAATATCAACTTATGTGTAATGAATTTAAACATGCTGATATGCATTTCTTCCAATAGGTGACGGTACTGAGCTCTTACTAACGGACAGTGAGCAACAGAAGAAGAATGTCGTACGTAAACAAAGCTAACAGTGGAGGGACAGATGACGCATCCTGCCGAGCCAAAGTGATGTCTTCAAAGTGAATGGACAAGCCGCTGGCCAGCTTCTCTCGACATTAACATTATAAGCGGACAATATGGAGGAGTCGTGGGATTTTGAGTTTCTGTCCCGCGTCGCTGACAGCTGTCTGTCGTTTATTTCCGAGTTTGTGGACGACTGGCTCGCCAACGACATGAGGGTCTCCATATTCAAAATCCTGCTCAGCTGGCTGATATTTAGTCTAATTGCGATTCACTTTGCATGGAAAGTCTACGGGAACACAGTGAACGACATGTATTACCGACAAGGTGGGTGTTGTTCGTCCCGCACAGGAACACTTAGCCGTGTCAGTCCAAGCTAGTCGCGTTAGCATGCTCTGTGTTTACATCCAGGGGCTGGGCAGAACGGAGGAACGCCGGAGGCAGCTTCCCATCTGGGCGGATGGTGAGTGTCCGATGTTGGAATCATGTGGCTCACATTAATTCAAAAGATCACTGTTGTTTCCATGGAGATAGCCCGCTGTAATTAAGTTACGTTTATGTTGTATTCTTCATGTATTACATGGCTATCGTTGTTGTTGTCTGATCTTTACCTGTTATCTTGTAGGGTGAGTGAAGCTGGGGATCCTATGAAGACCCATCAAGAATGAGTACTCATCCTGAAATCAGGGCTGGATATTTTTACTTCAGACACTAAATGAACACAATCAGTCTTGATCATCTAGATACCAGCATCTATCAGTTCTGGTGTCGAACAAAGTTTGTGGCATACTTACTTTGACCACCGGTCACAGAGCAGGACACTTTTCAGCAAGAATGACTGAAATAAATCGTGTTGTCAACATGGACCACCTGTGAATTTCGTGAGCGGCAGCAGTGGTGATGTGAAACAATTGTGCTTTTGGGTTTGATACAACTGTAATATCACTTCCAAGGTCATACGCAACCAGAAACCATGGTGCAACAAATGTATTTTTGAAGTCAAAATAAAGTACAGTTTTTATTAATAAATTTGGCATTAGTTGCAGTAGTAGAGGAGCATATGCTGTGTGTAAATATTTACTATTGAAGTATCAGTTGTGGCCAGTTTTATTTATGCAATGAATAAACTATCCTATCTAAACTATTTAAATCGCTATTTGGTTGCGTTTGTTAACAACCTTCATGATTTTTACTGTCTTACATTTTTAAATTTTGTGACATGACAACACACTTCAGTTGACTTTATTAGGATTTAATTTGATTTACCAAAATAAAATAGTGCAGTTGTAAAGTGGAGGGAAGTTAGTAATAGGCAACATTGTTTTGTTGTTACTGTCAGTGCATCTGAGAAAGGGAGGGATTGTGCAGGTAACCTTTTCTACGTGTTCCCGTCTGAAAAGAGGAAAGTGGCACAAAGCGGTGAATGAATTTCCCAGACAAAGACAAATTCAGGGGCCAGAGCTGCTGCTCATTGTGCAGGCAACCTATTCAGTGTCTCCCTCTCAGTCCAATTTGTGATCTAAAGAGGAAATCACTGCCTCTGATTGTACACAGTTTGCATGCTTGGAAAGCAAAAAATTTTATGAAAATATTGTAAAACAAAATCAAATACACATTTTAATTTATGAAAAAAAATTTGATTTTATTTTTCATTTAATCTTTTGAATTAAAATAAAAATCTGTAGTCATTTCGTTTTTATTGAAGAGCAAGATGAGGTGAGAATAATATTTGATACTTTAATGTACAACCTTGCTGTCAGCTGGCACATAACATTAGAATGGTTTTACATTAAGAAGGAAAACACTGACATAAACCTGCAGTTTTGTTAAAGTTTTAAAAAATTATTTGGGGAAATGTTTATTTTGCCTAATTTTATTTCAAATTGTAGCATTGTATATCAATTATTTTCAGTTTGATCTTTAAAATACCAACATTTCCACAAACTTTATGAGATGCCCCTTTGCATCTTATGATATAATCTTTAAATATTAAATTATGTTTGGATCAGTGACTCAGGTCTTTCAGACTTTCAGTTATTTGAATAACTTCTTGGACAGCTACTCTTACTTGAGTGAGAATATGTTGTAGTAGTGCTGCTCTTGCTTGAGTACAATCTTTGGGTACTTACTCACCTCTACTTACAATGAGTGTCAAATATAAAAATAGAAAACCCTAAGAAAGACATGATGATCTACTCATGATTTTGCACTGTTCAGCCTGTGTGTTAACTAATTTTAATGGGAATAGGTGGGATAAGCAGCACATGAACATCCATGACATTAGTGCAGGTCAGGCCGGGCACCAGCAGACGCTGTCCGGCTGACAGACGGGAAAAGAAAGTGTAGGAGTCATTATCACTGAGGAAGCCGTCGATGTCTAACCCCTGGGCTTGGGATTCGTCGTACAGCCCCGCATCAGTGACGGCCCCCGCAGCCTCCGTGGGTCCGTCTTGACCATCGGTGCCGCCGCTCAGAAACACGGGCCCCTGCGGCGGGAGCTCCAGGCCTCTCAGTTCCAGTCCCACTCGGAGAGCCAGCTCCTGGTTTCGACCTCCTCGCCCTTTGCCCGTCAGCTCCACAGTGGGCTCTCCTCCAGCTAACACACATGTGGCGCCCCACCCCTCGGCTCGCCCTTCGCCCAACACCTGCATGGTTCGGCACAGGTCCCAGCTCTCCACGCCGACTTCCGGTCCGAGCCTCAGCACTTCGGCTGCGATCTCCGGAGGCGGTTCTTCCTGGGAACAGGCGAACCGGGCCAGCAGGCCGTACAGCCTGGAGACGAGCCTCACGTCGCCGCAGACTCCCGGTGAAAGGACAACAGGACGGAAACCCAGCTCTCGAACTCGCCGGCCAGCGCAGGTGAGCGCAATGGTGTTGGAGCCAATCACAGCATTGAGAGCCTCTCCAGGTGAATCCGAGTGCTTGTCATTCTCTTTCCAGCGCGGACCCTGTCTCGCAAGGACCTGCGCGACGGAAGCTGGCATGGAGCTGAGAAGTTTGTGTCGTTCAAGGATGGATAAAACCTCCTCCGGCCAAACCTCGCATGTCACTGTTGGGCCGCTTGCGATCAAATCGAGAGGGTCCCCAATCACGTCAGACAGTATGAGTGAAACCACCTTTGATGAAATGATTGGAAAATCAGAAATATGCTCTTCTTTTAAAAAGCAAACATTGTTAAAGGGGCAGTATTATGTGTTTGATACATTTTATAGCACAATGAAGTTACTATGCTACCTTCAGTTGCTATAAAAATGCACATGTCTTAAAAATAGAGGTTCAGTGATTGCAGCTTTCTTTTCGATCACAAAAAGAAAAAAAAAGCCTGACCTGCCAATTCTGATTTTGTGTAAAACTGATTTTTTTTGTCCGAATAAATGCTAAATACAGCAATAAAATTGTTAACTGCAGACACGACCTGCTGTCAGTCAAACCTCTACCAGGGGAGAGCTGAAGAGGACAGTGGTTGATTTCTAGACCTTTGCCAAGGTACATAAGATCTGTGGATAAAATCGGCTTCACATGCAAGTATCGACCGATCACCAATTTCCCAAAGCAATCAAGCCAATTTCTCGGTGCACTCCTACTTAAAAGAAATTTGACTTTGTAATTTAGTGCCTTAAAATTGGGTCTCTATCTCTATAAAAACTCCTGCGCTTTCAAAAACTCTGCCTTCAGGAAGCCATCGCAACATCGCTCCTCTCTTAACGTAGAGCAACGTTTTAACCAGCATTTCACTGAGAAGTAGCTCCTACAATGAGCTCAGCAGATGATCCACCAGGTGTTTGCTAATGGCTGATGACTAGTCTGAAGGAGCTTAGTGGTGGGGGGAACTTTGGCTCAGAGGAGTAGGAGCGAAGTCTCGAAGGCGGTGCTAGATCCACCCAGAAACAACTATGAAAGAATCAAGACAACACGTCTCCAGATATGTTTTTGGTGAGGAAATAACATTATAACATGATGTGAAACTCAAAAAAGTAGATTTTACATAATAGGGCCCCTTTAAACGACTGCTGTAACTTACCTGTGCGGGGTGAGCGTGGTGTGCAAGCCCTCCACCCTTCAACAAAGAGAGCGCTCGACGAACTTTGTTGAGCTCTTGGATGGTCGCGCCAGCAGCTGCAAGTCTGCGAGTTACATCAAGCTTCTCCTGCAGCGAGATTGGAGGTATTGGTGCTGGTAGCAGTGCAGAGCCTCCACCTAGATGGAAACAAACCCGCACATTTGGCTAATAATACGGCTGCTAAACAAGCAGATCTGTAGTCAATATTGATGAAGTTGCTTTGCGAACTGCATGTTGGTTTGTAGTGTGATTGGTTTACTTCCTTAGCATTTTCTTCCTATAACCTGGTATCACACATCTCTTCTTTCAAAAGTTTATTGAAATTTATACATTGTCTGTGTGTAAATAAATAAACAGTAAACAGGATAGAAATCAGTGGAACTCTTAATAAATCATGCGCTTTTACCTGATATTAGAACAAGCAGTAAATCTTTTTCTGTCAGTTCAGTAGCTAACTGCTTGATGCCTTCGGCCGCCTTCAGAGAATCGTCATCAGGTAGGTTGTTTTTGGCTCCTTCCATGACTTTGACCCGACTGTCTGCTTTTAGCAACAAATGACTGTGATGGATAAAAAGCATAAAATGTCATATATATCCATATTATTCGTGATATTTTAGATAGGTTTCAGAAATTAGGTAAACATTCCTTGAAATTGCTCACACTTTCTAACACAAAGTGGCAAATGATTGCAAAAGGTAAAAGTTAGCAGAACCGAAGTGATTGGACTTTTGCAATTTGTACTCCTAAACTTTGGATGAGTTTAATGTATGGAATGCTGAAACTGTCGAGACTCAAGACCCATTTATATTCATAGGCGTTTGAGTCAAACAAAAATGAATCAAACGACAAGAGTTTGAGTTTCTTTTATAATGTGAGTTTGTATATAATTTGTATTTTTGCTTTAATTAAATTTTTTCTAGTTCTTAATATTGTAATCTTACTTCAATCTATTGAATTGTACAGCAACTTGGTCAACAGTTGTTTTTATAAATAAACTGATATTAAAATAAAAAGATTGTCTTTATTCCATGATTCCTTAATTTTCAGCTCTGACCAGCCATCTCCTCCCTGATGAAAAAAATGTTGTCCCACAGCATGATGCTGTCAACGCCATGTTTCATGGTGGGAATGGTGAGTTTAGAGTCTAGTTCAGTGTTAATTTTTCATCTTTAATTTATCCTTCGTAGGCCTAAAGAGTTTTATTTTGGTTTCACCTGACCAGATCATGCATGACAAACTGCAAATGACACTTCTCATGTTTCTCCGTAATGGCCTTCTTCTTAACACTCTTCCATAAAGGTTGGCTTTGCAGATTGCACAACTGATCGCTGTCTTCATGAGCTGTGGATTCCTGCATCTCCTCCAGAGTTTCAGAGAAACTCCAGAGGCTTTCACAGAAAAGCTAGACTTATACTGAGATTTAATTACAAACAGGTGATCATTATTTATTTATTACGTTCCTGACTGGATTTAGTTGAATTGAAAATTAATTTGGTGGTTGTTACAAATAATAATAACAAAAAAATAATAAAAAACTAGCAAGACTATTTTTGTGATGCACTATGGCTCCTGCATCATTTGCTCACCTTTTTTCATGCTGTTGTAAAGTCTGCTGTATCCCATGCGGCACGCTGATGACTCCTCTAACTAGATGATCGCCCAGAATCCTCTCTACTTCTGCAGCCATTCCCAGAACCGCTTTCCCAAAGCCCACCAGGTGCATGTTGTGACTGAGTGTGAATCTGTGTCCGTCAATAACGACCGAGTCGCCGTTACGCTCTATACTCTGCCGCACTACGGTGTCCGGCTGCACAGCTTCCACTGCGGCTCTGAAGGTTTCCCGCGCTCCTGAGTCCATGGACATGTTGCAGAACATGGGGTTTCTTCTTCCCAGGAGGGCCAGAAAAGGTTGAGGCCGGAACAAGGACAGGATGCGGGCCATTGCCACCTCAGCAGGTCTGAGGAATTGATACAGCAAGATGTGTAGAGTAAGAAAAGCATGTCAAATTAGGAAGGTAAGACTTGCATAATGCTATTAAATGTCTTTCGTTTAAAACCTTACAAAAACTACATGCATACAAAGTGTTATA